ATTAAATTTGGCATATATTGTAAATTTGAATAGAGTGGAGCAGTTTTTACCATTGGAATATCTTTAACACAAAATTTTCTTATATTTGTCATAAAATCTAAACATACAACAATCACATTTTATTCAAAGAAATGTAAGACTTGATCGTCTTCTTAAACTTTGTTCTCAGCAACATTTACAATATAAATTCACAGGTAAAGAAAAACTTGCATTTTACATTTAATCAGTATTTTTGAATATCTTTGCGTGCAGACTGTTTTTCAAAGCGATAAAACAGCAACACAACTTGCAAATCAAAATAGTTTTCGATTAAAAAAACGTTGGACACCTCTCCTGATTCTATCTTTAACCGTTCAAGAATAACCGCAGCAGTGAGTATTCCTGACTTGTTCGGTGGACATTGACACTCACTAGACACTTAGTTCAGCTATCTGGTTGAGACCCGAGTATTCGATTTTTTCAAACAGATGGAGGAGTAACTTAAAAATGATCTAGAAGTTGATCTAAAAAGTTTCGAGCTATTTTTAGTTGCGTTCGATTCAGATTTGTTTGGGCTGCAAAATATATCAGCGAGGTGTGAGACCATGAGAGGAGATCTGACGTGCGAAAACCATACTACTATCGGAGTCAAAATACAACAGCAGTGGTTATTTTTTGTACAAATAGAGATAGAGGCGTGTGGTTTTCATCATTCGCTAGCCAAGACTTGAAGCTATGTTTTCATAAGCAAAAACGAATTTGAAGAAACCTTCAGAGACCGACTTTTTAGGATCTGTGGAAAACCAGTTCGGTTCTCTGGAAGCTGACATTTTATACATGTATAGTCCGAGGTGTCCTCTACGAAACTAGATCCAAGCGACCTCTTCAAAATCTCTCGTTCAGGAGCTATGAACGTTTTTCCTAAAGCCGTAGGACCCCTCCGTCGTTAGATTTGGAACCGTCAGAAATGAATGAAAGCATAAGTTATCGACTATGCTTAATCTCATGCCAATGTCAATTTTCCGAGCGAAATATAAGAACCTAGTGAAAATCTATACTAGGTGAAATAAACTAGTTTTGATTATTTTCATCAACAATTAAAAATTCATAACTCAGTCAAAATCCGTCTGAACTACTTCAGGATATCAGAAAGTATTTTGTTTCATCTGCAGTATACCCTAAAGCTCAATAAATGTTGAAAACACCAACAGAAAATACTTTGGTTTCTAGAAAGGTTTCCCAGAAACCTTCGAAACTAAGAGAATATGTTTTATTGACTTACAGAATCAGAATGAGCGGATAAAATAGAGTATTTCCTCACATTCAGAAGTAGGTTGGATGGATTTTAACTTAGTTATGAATTTTTAATTGTTGATGAAATTAATCAAAAATGGATTATTTCACCATAGGTTTTTACTAGTTTCTGGCATTTCATTCTGAAAACTAACATTGCCACGAGATTCAGCATAGTCGATATGTCTTCATTCTTTTCTGACTGTCCCACCAAACCTAACGGCAGAGGAGCCCCAAGGCTTCAGGAAAAAAAATATTCATAGTTCCTGAATCAGAGATTTTGAAGATGTCGCTTGGATCTAGTTTGGTAAAGGACACTTCGGACTATATATGCCTCCATCCCTCAAGAAAACCCATAGATTCCTATTTGAAGTTCTGAAAATCCAACCTAGTTTTCCAAAGATCCTCTGGAAAACTGGCTTCGAAAATCGTTTTAACCTGGGGAAGGATAGCCTCAAGTCTTGTCTATCGAATGATGAAAACCTCAAATCTCTATCTTTAATAGATGGTGAGTTATTCCGACGAAAATAACCACTACTCTTGTATTTTGACTCCAATGGTAGTATTGACTCCTCCGTTCGATGAATTTAAATGGGAAAACTCATGCCTTTTCGATGTAAAAAGTAATTCTCCTTTGCAATATTTCTTCGTATATATCGAATTTTAGTTTTTTTTAAAAAAGCTCGTTCATACAATGAAGAAAATTCTTCTTATAAATAAAAAAATCGAATATCCAAAAGTTAACTACAATTTACTATTACTTTTAGAATTAAAAGTTCCGTTTGAATGCTTACTGTGTGTCAATTCTTTCGGAAATACGATACGTCAGTAGAACTATATTGCCAAAAATGGAATTACCTAATATTTGAAATCGATTACAATCATAATCATCTATTTGTAACTGTTTTAACCATATTATAGGAGTGATTTTGATTTGTTTCCAAACAAATTGTTCAAAGTCAAATGATATAATATTTGTCAAATTCAAATGTTGTACACATAAATAACGTTCAATTAAATATTTTAAATGAGAATTTAATTTCCAAAATAAATAAATTATATCGAGTGATGAAATATAATCTTTGAATAGTGTAACAAGTAATTCATTTGGTAAATCATCAAATGTTGTCATAATTGTGAAAATAAAATCGACTCAATCTTTAATAGTATAAGAAAAATAACACAAGAAACAATGAATGAAACTTATATATACACAGTGTGAACATTTTTTTTTTGCTTCTAATCACAGGCAAAAGAAGATATGTCCATTTAAAAAACAAAAAAAAACCATAGAATAGGCAAAATTTTCTTTCGTCGTCTGTATACTATAACGTCTGTAACAGTTCGTTCATCGACTAAAATATATATGAAAAGAATTGTGTATACAAACGCATTATATCGACTATTCATAACAACATTTTCTTCTTATTATAGAAGAAGGTGAAATCACTATTAAAGTATTAACATTTTCGTTTTATATAAAATACAAAATATCATCGTAAATTACTGCAAAAAAAAAAATTTTCTGAATTTGAAATGAGAAGACAGATCATAAAACACAACTTTTCACCGTTGATCAATCACCGTAGTTAAGAATGAAAAAGTTAATTATTGAGGAAATAATAATTTCATTTTCATATCAGATTCATTTATTCTGATAATTGTTGATAAGAAGCAAAATGTGACACACAATCTCCCGTATAGATTATTACAAATGCATTCACACAAGACATGCTGTGATATTTTTGATTGAGTAGTTGAAAATTATAGCATTTCTTTTCCATTCTAATAATTAAAACATGTTTGAATAGTCATGTTGAGAAATCGGAAGAAATATGAAAAAAGTCTATCGGAATTGCACGCTTTGTATTTGTCCTATTTTCCTGTATAAGAACATCCTGTTTTATCCTGGTTTTTAACATTTTCCTGTATTTTGACATTTTTTTGCACTTTTATTGTGGTAAAATCTGTTAGAAAGTGAATTCAGTCAGCAGCCATTTAGACAAATATTTTTACTTTATTCAGTTAACAAAGAGAAGAGAAGACTAACAGAAATGACGTTTATACTTAACGTCAAAATGTCTCCATAAAGACTGACTATATAAATTCTACAGATTCATGTTGAAATAGTAAACGAAAGAAGTTAAAAATATGAGAGAGAAAGAAAAAATGAAGAGTAAAGAAAAAGTAAACTGAAGTATGATGTTGTTGTACATATAGAAACAGAGGAAAATGAAAGAAAACAATGATAATAATACTGGACGGATAGATGAAAAGATTGATATACATGATTATCTATGACAATGTTTGAATAACATTTTCTAAATAAGATCAAATGAATTTTTAGTTTATGCCTTCTTCAATCAGGAGTTGGTAAGTAGCGCAGATCCTAATTGGTAATGCTACTAATACAGTTCGGGAACTACAACTCACCTTATTCAGATATAGCGAATTGATGCACGGTGGTCAATTTTGACTATGCACGTGGACATGTACTATAAAAGTGATACGAAAGCCTCTAAGAAGACTATTTTTATAGGTTTTCATATGTGCTCTTTCCAATGGTACGATTTAAAAAGTTCAAAAACACTTTTAGTCCGGTTTTCCAGAGACCAGATCTTTACAAAACCCTCATAAAAACATTTTGGAACTTGTAAACCACACCATTGGAAAGAGCACATATGAAAACCTATAAGCATAGTGTTTAGAGGCCTTCGTATCGCTTTTATGGCCCTTGTGCACGTGCCTAGCCAAAATTCCTACGGGAATCCCGAAAATCTGTCATTTCATTACACCGAATGATTTTTTGCGCATAAAAACGTACAATTGACATACCATTCGACGCAGTTTTGTGCCCTGATTTCGAATATGTCATTATTTTTCAATATAGTTGCTTCTAGAAGAAAAAAAACTACTTTACTTCAAAAACGAAGGATTTTTTAGAAACCTACTATTCAGTCTAGGAACATTTTTGCTATCTGCATAACTGTATCATTAGTACAAAATATTCTGCGAAAATTTCATTCAATTGGGAGCTTGGAAAAACATTTGAATCCGATTATACTGAGGACCGCTTCTTCGAAAAACACCTGACGTAGAAAGAAACATTATTTTCCCAGTTCCAAAGTTGCCTATAAAGCTTTTATTTTGTGAATGAGTAGAATGAAAGGCCTAATTTCAAATTAGCTGTGATTTTTATAATTATCGGATTTGATTTGACAAAAAATATTTTTCCATCTTTATCGCTCTATTTTACAATAAAAGTTTCCTCAGCGATTTTCTCACTAATTAAAGCACTTTGGAAAAAACTTTCTATGCCATTTAAATAGAGCGTAAGCTAAAGTATATAACCTTCTATTTGAATCTCCAAAAAACGCAGTTTTGTTTTCTTACCTATCTACGTGGTTTGCCCATTGTGTGATGCCGGGCATCACGATTAGCTAAAAAACATGCTAATAAAACTCTCTATTCTGATTCTTTTTTTGATGATGATGAGACTTCTAAGTCAACCTGTTCTTCTCCTACTGTTTCTCAAAGTAAATCAGCTATCGGACGGCATGTGTTAATACGGAACATTAAATTAGTTGGAACGACTTTTAAATATTGTGTAAAGATAGTGATCCATATCGGTTATTAATAAAAGAATCTTTGCAATTTTAAATCTTTGTTTTTATTCTGTATCAGTAATAATCTTCTGTATAATAATAATATAATAATAATAATAAACTTAAGAGTTTTTTAGCTCGTATTTTAGTACTCGGCAAAAAACTAAAAAGGTTTTTTTATTTTGCATCTGTCACGAACATTTTTTAGTTTTTTGGATACAAAAAACGGAAGCGTTTTTTAAAAGGTTTATTGATCTCAATAAACCCTCTTTGATAATTTATTAACCTACGACTATTTTTTAGAGTGTACTGAGAAAACTACATATTGTACACAGGGCCATGTTTTTCGGGGCATTTCAAGGGGGAAAAGGCGGCTCCGGGAGCTTTCCGGAGCCTGAAATGCTGAGAGATGCTCTGAGTGGCTGGTAGTGCCACGGATTAAGGAAACGGCTCTTTCCCGCAAACAAAACAAAAAGTTTTTGTCTGTGCGAATAGAATTCACGGAACAGAATACAATTGTTCCGTTATCAGGGAAAATTTCCTGCTAAAAGAACAGGATTGTTCTGTTTGGGGAACAGAAGGTTTTCTCAGAAATGAAAAATTTTGAGTGAGCGATGCTCTCCGATGTTAGGAAAGAAAAAAATCGCCTTTTCCCCCTTGAGGCATTTGCGGCTATGCTTATATCTTTAAGAAAACTTATCGGAAAATTCTGGAAAACATCTCATTTTGAAGAACACACCTTCTTCTATCACGTTATGTATAGGAAAACATTTTGAATATATAGGAAAGGAGAGAAAAATTTACGAACCAAAAAAGTTGAAATTGTCTAGGCTTTGAAGGAAAAACTTAAAAAGTTCATGATTTTTTCAAGGAAGGTCATGGAGAGCTGGGAGTGGTCGCATTTTCTAGCCCAGACTTTCCTCTACATTAGACTACGTTCAGCTCAAAATAACAACTTTTTTGCAGAACAGAGGATACCCTTAAGCATTCATGAATAGTATTCATTGAATCAATGGATACTAATGAGTTTTCTAAAAATTTGTACATCATTCGACAGAAAATAGTCTGATCTACCTAACTGTTAAATATCGCTTTTTCTTGGTCAAAATTGAGCAAACTTTGGCAGAAATATGACGACAATTTTGATAACCTGACCATAATTACCCTACGCGACTCTATAGACTCTTTGAAAATTGTATAAATTACTACATTATGTAAAAATGATAAATAGCTCAATGTAATCTTCTTCTACTTTCATGGATGATCTCAGCTGTACAAGAAAATCATCAGTGATCTTCAGTTGGCTTCTACAGTCAGTTGATACGTAGAAACCGTATTAAACTGCTCAAGAATATAAGATATAAAAATTACTTTCATCAGCGATTAGTTAACTTCGCCCTTCAACAATTCACTTGACAGAAAAATAAACTCACATCTTTGTTAGTCATTAATAACGTGGCTTAACGTTAATAAGTATTTTAGGATGAGTATGTTGGGTTACTACTGAGCTTCTACTTTTTTTTGATAAAATCAGGTGATATATGTTCTTCGAAAATTTCACGTTTGAGTTTGCTTTTTATTTATTTGTCGTCTTTCAATTATTTCATCTTAGTCAAGGTCATCTAGTTCGACCATAAGTTTAGAAATATATGTACTGTCAAAAGTATTCCTTTTTCTCGTCAAATATATTTTTCCTCTTTCAATTGCGAAGTTAAACTTCTTGCATCTTCGCTTCATTTTCTTTTCACAACTATCATCCCTATAGTGCACAGACTAACTGGATTTCGTTTCATTTCTCCTCATTCGTTGTACACTCATCAGGCATAAAAATGTGTTTATTTAAATTTCATTTATCTTACTTGTCCATCATGATACGAAAACTGCCGTGCAAAGTCAAGCTAATTCAAAAAGTTTTCAGAAATGTCTCCTTTAATTATTTAATATCAGTTAATATCAGAAAGAAAGGCAAATAACATTAAGCAAAATAGAAAAAAGGAGTATTCAAAATATGATGAGAAACGATGGTATCGAGTTCTTCGACCAAAAATCTTGCGTGCATTGATAAGATGTCGTACTTTTCAATCGCGTACGCTGATTCTATGATCGGTTCTTATGAGAGAAAACATCACATTTTCTAATGATTCAAACTGCTAACGAGGGAAGCTCTCGAGGTGATAAAACGCTTTTTGATCGAAATCTAGTGGGTTATAGGTTATCGACCATGCTGATTCCGAATATGATTATGGGAGCTGCCCTTAATCGTACGAAGTTCCAGTTTTCTG